GGCCCCGGGGCCAGGGTCAGCCCTGGGGACAGCCCTGGGGACAGGGACAGCCCTGGGGACAGGGACACCTCTGGGGACAGGGACAGCCCTGGGGACAGGGACAGCTCTGGGGACAGGGACACCTCTGGGGACAGGGACACAGCCCTGGGGACAGCCCTGGGGACAGGGACACCTCTGGGGACAGGGACACCATCCCTGGGGACAGGGACACAGCCCTGGGGACAGGGACACCTCTGGGGACAGGGACACCATTCCTGGGGACAGCAGGGAGGGGACAGTGACACCCCTGGGTGGCCATTGTGACCCCTGGGTGCTGGCTCTGCCCTGGTGGCACTGTCCCCACGCTGTCCCCACGCTGTCCCCACACTGTCCCCACGCTGTCCCCACGCTGTCCCCACGCTGTCCCCATGTCCCCACGCTGTCCCCACGCTGTCCCCACAGAACTTCTCGGACTACGACGTGTGCAGCATCCTGCTGGGGACATCCACGCTGCTCGTCTGGGTCGGTGTCATCCGGTACCTGACCTTCTTCCAGAAATACAACGTGAGTGCCACTGGGGACACCTGGGGACACCTGGGGACAGCTGGGGACACACCTGGGGACACCTGGGACACACCTGGGGACACCTGGGACACACCTGGGGACATGGACAGGGTTAAATCCCATTTTTCCTGCCCAAAATCCTCTCTGTGACACTTGGGGTGGGGACAATTCCCATTTCCCCTCCCCAAATCCCCATTTCCCCTCCCCAAATCCCCATTTCCCCTCCCCAAATCCCCATTTCCCCTCCCCAAATCCCCATTTCCCCTCCCCAAATCCCCATTTCCCCTCCCCAAATCCCCATTTCCCCTCCCCAAATCCCCATTTCCCCTCCCCAAATCCCCATTTCCCCTCCCCAAATCCCCATTTCCCCTCCCCAAATCCCCATTTCCCCTCCCCAAATCCCCATTTCCCCTCCCCAAATCCCCATTTCCCCTCCCCAAATCCCCATTTCCCCTCCCCAAATCCCCATTTCCCCTCCCCAAATCCCCATTTCCCCTCCCCAAATCCCCATTTCCCCTCCCCAAATCCCCATTTCCCCTCCCCAAATCCCCATTTCCCCTCCCCAAATCCCCATTTCCCCTCCCCAAATCCCCATTTCCCCTCCCCAAATCCCCATTTCCCCTCCCCAAATCCCCATTTCCCCTCCCCAAATCCCCATTTCCCCTCCCCAAATCCCCATTTCCCCTCCCCAAATCCCCATTTCCCCTCCCCAAATCCCCATTTCCCCTCCCCAAATCCCCATTTCCCCTCCCCAAATCCCCATTTCCCCTCCCCAAATCCCCATTTCCCCTCCCCAAATCCCCATTTCCCCTCCCCAAATCCCCATTTCCCCTCCCCAAATCCCCATTTCCCCTCCCCAAATCCCCATTTCCCCTCCCCAAATCCCCATTTCCCCTCCCCAAATCCCCATTTCCCCTCCCCAAATCCCCATTTCCCCTCCCCAAATCCCCATTTCCCCTCCCCAAATCCCCATTTCCCCTCCCCAAATCCCCATTTCCCCTCCCCAAATCCCCATTTCCCCTCCCCAAATCCCCATTTCCCCTCCCCAAATCCCCATTTCCCCTCCCCAAATCCCCATTTCCCCTCCCCAAATCCCCATTTCCCCTCCCCAAATCCCCATTTCCCCTCCCCAAATCCCCATTTCCCCTCCCCAAATCCCCATTTCCCCTCCCCAAATCCCCATTTCCCCTCCCCAAATCCCCATTTCCCCTCCCCAAATCCCCATTTCCCCTCCCCAAATCCCCATTTCCCCTCCCCAAATCCCCATTTCCCCTCCCCAAATCCCCATTTCCCCTCCCCAAATCCCCATTTCCCCTCCCCAAATCCCCATTTCCCCTCCCCAAATCCCCATTTCCCCTCCCCAAATCCCCATTTCCCCTCCCCAAATCCCCATTTCCCCACCCCAAATCCCCGTTTTTTCCCTCCCCATTTTCCACAATTCCCGTTTTTCCCGATTTCCCCGTTTTTCCCCCCAGATCCTGATCGTGACGCTGCGCGTGGCGCTGCCCAACGTGATGCGTTTCTGCTGCTGCGTGGCCGTGATTTATTTGGGATATTGCTTCTGCGGCTGGATCGTGCTGGGCCCGCACCACGTCAAGGTGGGCACGTCCCCAAATCCCCTTCGGGGTCCCCAAATTCCCAAATTCCCCTTTTGGGAATTCCCAAATCCCCTTTTGGGGTTCCCAAATTCCCAAATCCCCTTTGGGGTCCCCAAATTCCCCTTTTGGGAATTCCCAAATCCCCTTCGGGGTCCCCAAATTCCCAAATCCCCTTTTGGGGTCCCCAA